AAATCTCAGTATTGAAAATTACTAAGGCCCACTCAGGCAAAAAGAGGAACAGAGCGTTAAAAAGGGCGACAAGAGTGAGATGCTCGATGGATAAAAAAGGTGAAATAAAGGAGACTTTGTAGCTAAATCACGCCTCTTTTCTCAGGTTGTGCATTATCTCCTTTTTCGCATTAATGGTACTCAGGTTTTCGCCATTGTGTTGTCTTTCTTTTCTTTATTTTGTCGTTATCATCTAATAATTTCCCCTTCTTCACTTTATTTGTCACTTCAAAGATATTATCCCATATTTGCGGCCTCCCAATCCGACAAATGTGTGGACAAAGAGGGGACATTTTTGGGAAAACGTGGACAAAAAGGATGTATTTTATTTCAAAAGGGGACAAAACCCGATTAAATGACACAATAAGGGGACAATTTCTAGGAAGGGGGAATAAATCAAAATCAAGGGAATGTCCCCTTTTTCAACACGATTTTCCCCATATTTGTAGGATTGGGATATTTTCGATTTATTTCTCACTTGAGAAAAGTTTCCTACTTTTTTCAGCCTATTATCCACACAACTTTCTGATTTGGAGACGATCTGTTTGGGTAGCTGATTAATTAATCATGATGTTAACATCAAGGTGATGAAAAAGGAGGTATTTCGCCAAAATGTCCCTTGGAGTTTTGCACTCAGTTGCCTCCTAAATGCCCAAAAATTCTTTTGATCATGCTCGACATAGCCCCTAAAAATTACGAGAAGTGTTGACTCTAAACTACAGCATACCAGGAGACCCTAAATTATTTTCGAACATTACCTGAAAATAAACGTGTTTTTCAAATTGCGCACCTCTACTTCTTACGTATCTGATTGGACGCTAGAGGTAGTTTCGTCAAGGGCTGCTATAGTTTTGAGCCACTCGAATAGTTAGTCACTGTCACTGTTACAGGATGAGTAATGATATGATCGTATAACGGCAGTTGCAAAACGAGGCAACAGTAAAGAACAGACACCAACCTAAGACGACCTTGAAACAGCCAATCAGATTCCTGTAGTGGAACTTAATTTACTAAGAAATGTATCAACGATTCTAAGTCTTGTGTTGTATGAGCGAAATTTTCTACGACTTTAACAGAGATATACACTCAATTGCAGTGGTGTGAAACTATCTAGCCGAAATCAAATCGCCAAATGTTGACCTTCGAGATGTAATAGAATCTAGGGAATATCCCATAACGAAAGCTGCCTGGATTTCACGAATATGTTTCCTGAAGAACTGGTAAATTCACGCTGTTAGGTAGCGTTAGGGGCCAAATTAACGAATAGAGGTACAGGAGTGAGAACGTATCATGACCCTGAACTCAGACTGCTAATTGAATAACGTGAGCTAACATTACGCTACTATGAGAGCTGTGCACTTATTGTGGTGCAGATTTCACCCTGAAATGTATGAAGCATGGGTAACTTGTTGGGGTTAAGGGTTATAGCGGTATATAATTCCCAAAATTATTGGCCACAGCATTCATCAGTGAACATTGGACGCTGACTCTCATTGTATAAGTCAACTTGTTTACCTGGAGGCTACCGATCAAGCATCAACACTATTTGACACGCTGTCGTGTTACGTTCTTTCGTCTGTGCACGATCCCTGGCCAGCTAAGCAATCATCTCGCACTCCGATTTGGTCCCGAAATATAACTCGTAATTTGGAAGATTCTGGTGTTTTGCCTTGCCCTCGCTCTACGTGGAACGAATACTACGGAAGTTGTGGGTGTTAAATCTTGCGTTAGTATACTTCATACTATCCGTGGAAGTCAATATCTTCGGCCTCTAAACTGTTATAGTTTGGATGAGAATAAAGCTTGGAGTTAGAGTTTGAGGTTAGAATTTATTTTGGTGGTGTCGAAAGTTTAACTTTGCCCAAAAAAGCATACCAAAACACGTGTCAGTGCTAAAGTATCGAAAGGCACAGAGGGACAGGGCGTCACTTTCATACTATTGAGTGAACAAATGACATTTAAAAGTGAAGTAAAATCTAAAAGAAGCACTAACACTTGGGGTAAATTTCAAAGTTCGTACAAGAACCCCTAGGAAGTCCACCGACCCCAGGCATACCGGAGTTTAAGGAATGTTCTACGTATCATTCGCCAAATTTGTCTACTTCAAATAGCTCAAAGGTAGAAGGAACGCTTAGAAAAGAATAATTTATTGCTTTCAGTTGTTGGTACAAGGTAATACCTTGTCGTAATTACTCAGTAGCCTCCAAAGCATATCTAGTTGTTTTGATATACTTCTTTGCCCCTTTCCGTCTTCATATAAGCGCAGATATCTCTAAGTTGAAAGAACAGGAAGGCTCCTTAAAGCCTGCAATGACTGTGGGTACATTACGTGTTAAAGCGAACAGTGTAGCCAGATTTTCGGAATTCGCCTGAACATGACTGTCAGCTTTCGCCAAAATGCCTAACCCAACATACTCAAACTGTGAGAAAGCCAAAGTATAGTACAATTACACATCATGGTTCCAGATGCGACCCTAGATTGTACCACAAACACTGGTTACTTATTTTGTCAATGGAAAGTTTATCAATTTACTGATGATAGCGTCCCGTGATTGTCTAATCCATTATTGAACGTGTCAACCGAGGTACTTCTAGCAGTCTATCCCAAGAGTTTTCAACTCATTAGGAGAACATGTACACCAGAGATACATAGTCCCTCATTGGCTTTTGAACTCTCATGTTATGTCCTATTAAATGACCCAATGAAGCTGAAGAGGAGAGGAATATCAGGACTGTGGTGATTTCTTTGACATTTGGAAAATCAAATAAGGTCCCTTTAACTACAGTATGACAAAGAGGAAATCCAGATGGCCAAGCCTATCATATTATAAAAAGCTGCCGCGAAATTAATCACAGGATTTGCCTTATTGGGAATGACAGAGCATAGGTGTGAATGTCCACGTATAACAACACTGGAATTATCGCTGTTCTTAGAAGACTTTCAGAAACTATTGTCAATAACCAACGCGAAAAACCAGAACACAAATTGGTGATTCAAGAATCCTATATTCTTGCGCCAATACAGAACCAACCACAAGGTGATTGTACACAAAGTCTAAGGATGAATGTTATAGCAATTAATCACAACAATACTTCTGATGGTTTTTCTTTGTCTTCTAACAAACAGCGAATGATAGAACGATGAATGCAATATCGATGACTCCCGCCAAAATATGGAGTTGGGTTTGAGCAAAAACCATGAATTGATCGTTCGTTGTTCGGCTACTTTGAGAATAGGCGTTACTGAATTCGGTACACTGAATAATGATCTCCAGAACGTCGACAAATGATAATTGCAGTTCTTAATCTTGTTCTTTGCTAAATGATAAATTTATACCTTTATGTAATCTCTTCTTTCACCCGTGACTCGTCTCCTAGTTCGCAAGTGTTTTTGTGCTCAGTCAGTTTTGTGCTAAGCTTTCAATCATTCAGCATATATATTTATTTATTCCTATCTATGTAGGACACACCAGTTGTACAAGCATGGATAAGTATTATTTACATCACATGAATTTGATTTATGGTGAAATCACATGCCCAATCCGACAAAAGTGCGGAAAATCGTGTCTATAAAGAGGACAGATCTGGGACATCCAATGGAGTTAAAAAGGGGACAAAACTCGGAAATGCTAAGACTTGTCCCCTTTGTCCCAGATCCCCCCACTTTGTCCCCTGAATCAGCAGAATGTCCCCTTTCTTCTAAATCATGTTGTCCCCTTAATCAGCAGAATGTCCCCTATCTGTCCCAATATTGTCCCCTTAATCAGCAGAATGTCCCCTATCTGTCCCAATAGTGTCCCCTTAATCAGCAGAATGTCCCCTATCTGTCCCAATATTGTCCCCTTAATCAGCAGAATGTCCCCTATCTGTCCCAATATTGTCCCCTTAATCAGCAGAATGTCCCCTATCTGTCCCAATATTGTCCCCTTAATCAGCAGAATGTCCCCTATCTGTCCCCTTAATCCGCGGAATATCCCCTTTATGTCCCTATATTCATCGTTTCTTTTTATCCTAAAACGCAGAATTCCTCCCTGTTACTCGCACCATTTTTCCTTCATTCTTTTAACGTCAAACAACTCAAAATTCAAAGAAAGGTTCGTTTTTGAACTAAATATATTTAATTTCACTATTCGTTAATGGAAAAAAGGAAACAAAAATTCGGCAAGTTCATTCTTAAAGATTAATGAACATTAACAGTTACAAATGATACAGACAATTAATAATAATAATCCATGGAGCAATTCAAGAAATACAAAAATATTGTCTTCGCATTAAAAAAAACCCAAGTATGTATTGGATGGCTTACAAATACTTGGGAAAAAATAAAGCTTGAAGTCATATGAAGTCTAAATGCGGCTTGACATCTGCTCGCCGTCATCCAGTAGGTCCATTGACATATTCTGAAAATTAAAAAAATTTTGTTAGCAAGGTAGTAATCAAAGGTGACACTTATCAAGATATTTGACATAATCATATACTAGACGTGTTTATGGAGGTTTAAAAATTAGATTCATTATTAACTACAAATAAATTATTTGTTCACGTACAAATACTCACAATGGAAGACCTTAAGTGTGAGTAATCTCTAATGTTCCATTTCCCAGTAAACATACAAAAATAATTGAGTCGTAAAAGGCAAACCGTGTACTGTTGAACAAACTATCTACCTAAACACCTAGTGCATGTAACTAACAGAACTAGTTTTCATAACGTTGACAATTACACGCTATTTACTGGCAGTGGCATCATACATTTAGACAGCATTCATTTAATGAAATTGTCACTTACAGCAGAGATGTTCTGGTCACTCTTCTTCTTGTCAACAGCAACCTGTGAAAAATAATTTGCGTTTATTGATATTCATACAAAGGTTTGCAGTTTAGTAACTTTAATTAACCAGAAACTTTACTTACTCTTGGCCGGGTACACCTTTTGTAGACACGATCACGTACGTCGTGGAAGTAGGCCTTAGTAGTATCTCTCAAAGATTTTATAACTTCGTCCTCGGGCATCGTAGCAGAAGCGAACTTGCTGACAATGACGGCTGAAAGAAATATTTAAATAAAGCACGCTTACACGTTATAACTTTATAGAAGTGACATTTTAAGAGAGCTAGCTTCTTCGATGTTCCGTACGCAGTGAAGCGACTTGACAGCTTAGGCTCCCATATGTAATTCAGCATTCGTTTCAAGGAAGACTGCGGATTGTACGATAAATTCTCAGCCAGTTTTGTCATCTGAACGTAAATGAAGGTTAACAGTAGACTTACGAAAGAATCTCTGAATTTTGGGTTTCTCACTGAAGCTTCAAGTTGGTTAAACTCTTCTTCAGTCGTCAAGGGGAATTGCAGTTGACTATTGTCAATTGACGACTTCCCGGTTCCTAAGGTGGTGACGTCGCCCGACTTATTTGCTGAAACAAACTGCCTCACCAGTTTACTAAGTGACTGCATTTCTTCTTGAAAGCAAGCCATTTTTCCATTCAAGAAATCAAGTTTTCCTTCAATGGACTTCACTCTTTCGCTAAGGGAGTGCGACTCAGTCACCGATTTGTCATAGGAATCAGTGATTTCCTTACTGCAAAGTAACTAGTGATTAAAAATAACATACGTAGTCTGCCTATTTGACTGTGTGATTGGTGACGACGTCGCCACTGGCATTTGTGGACTGGAAGTGCTGAAGGAATAAGAATATTAAATGAATGCGCTACCTGGCTGTTGGTGCCATCACAGTGTCCATGAAATTAGTGTCTGGGTATTTAGATGACCAACACACCTTCTGTGCCTCCACAGCTTCCAGTTCAGCGGAGTCATAAACGTACGAGGCGGAGTTCTTTGTCCCCACTCTGTATTGTGTCATTAACGGATAAGAGGAATCTACCTTTGACGTTTTGAATTGGTTTGGGGCAATGTCTCCTCGAGATTAACAGAATTTGACATGATATTATGCAGTCTTTGTGCAGCTGACAAAGCACTCTTGGCTTCTGGAAAAGAGTCTATTTACGGGAATATAGTTGATACCAAAACAGTTACCTTGCTCTGCTAACGTCTGACAGTAAATTATGTACCAATCCGGTCTAGGATCGATACATGCCTCAACTTCGGAATCCGTGACATCGCTGTGATACACGCACATCTCATCAGACGGCATCCATTTTCTGGCGACTATGCACAAGTCCTTTGTACCCCTTTTTGTTATCACAGCGTAAGTTTTCCTTCCGTCCTGTAAGAAATAAGTAAATATGATATAAACGAAGTTTACAGTCTCATTAGTCCGCTGGTCACTGAATGCAGGAATGTCGACGGTTGACGCAATCAGTCTAAGCAGTTTCTGCGAAAGTATGAGGCAACGGCACTGCTACTTCATACTTATCTGTACGAATACAGAAGCACTTACAAGTGATAAGTGATGGCTTAATTTCTAGCGTGTGGGGGCTTAATTTGGAGCACTTCCATATTCCAATATTTGAGGACTTAAATGGCTGGTCGAAAAAATCACAAGCGTCCATATAAGGTCTAAATGTAAGTCTATCATTGTGTATATGCGTTATACGACCAGGTATACGGTAGGCTATGACGACGTTATCTGGTGGAGAGGAAGTGATAACTGTACGCTTGGTGTGAACTATTTGCCTATCTACATCTATTTCACATTCATCTATAAGGTTATCGTGTCTTGCTCCTGAATTGCAGTCGTGGAATACCTTTTCTGAAAATCTTTGCGCCGCCTGCTTAGCAATGGCATTGTTAGAATGGATGGAACGCCTAATTGTCTGCATATAAGACTCAAATGGGAACGCGGAAAACGATTCTAAAGGACCCATTTCACGTACATCTTCCGCTAAGTGTTGCAGACAATGTATGTTATAAACTAAGTGCTCCCTGCCATAAATAAATTCAAACTCATTGAGGAAGTTGAGTAACTCATCTCTGCAACCTTCCAAGTAATTACGGTAAAACCTTTTGTTAGAAAGAAGGTAAACAGGTATACTAAGTCTTAGGAAGTTGCGGTATATTGCAGGTGGCATAGTGTCCTTAAGTAAAACAGGCCCTAGGTATAGGAGGAAGATGCGACATTCAGTGGCTTTCCACCGACTAACTTCGGTGAGCCCCCTACACTTTCTGGGGAAGTCCCTGGGTGTCATTCCAGCAGAAGCTAATATCTTCCCATCAATGCTTTCAAGCATAAGCCGGTTTACGTGCATTTCCTTCCTTTTAGCTAAGTCTTGCCAGAGACTTATAAGCTTCCTAACTACCCCTAAATAGACTAGGTGCATTGGGTCAAGAGGGAAGCACTTAACCATATCAATGTTTAAATCCTCAAAAGCACTCTGTCCACGGTGGTGACTTGACTGCATCCTTTGACGGAAGCTGCCATCAGTCCGGATTGGAAAAATTCCATTTCCAAATGTCATTCTGCCGTCAACTTTTCTTCCAGTAACTGTGCATTTGTCGCAACCTGCACTGGCATTATGACCTACTATAAATTTCACGTCCGCTCTAGCCGGTGCATCACAGATGACGGCTGTCAAACGAACGTTGAAATGCCTATTCAGTTTGGTAATGTGTATGCCTTGACTTAATATATCCTTTAGCTCAGATACTAAGTCATTGCATAACTCTCTATAACTGCTCGGTTTGCTAGGACCACCGTATATACCTATCATGAATACACTACTTAGGTAAGGTGCCGTAATTCTACCTAACAGGGGCCATAACTGCTGGTTAGAAGACTTGGAGATGGACAATCCGTCGACATTCAACTGCAGCTCAATCGTCTTGTAGTGACTATCAACCATGTAGTGCTGCAGGCATTTTTGGAGACCGATGTGGCAATACATTCCATCTCCAAGTAGTGTAGACTCGCAAGAGCCACACATTCTGAGGACACTTCGAACACTTGTCGGTAGTTGAGGCAATTTCGTACGGAATACCTCCAAGATTCTGTTAGCGCCTGCTTGTGATAGGTTCGCGGTCACCATGATATTGAGTAGCATGCTTGTGATTTCATCACGTTCAGAAGAGACTTGTGGGCACATTTGTGAAGTACTAGCAGCTGGTGTTAGGCTGCTGCAAGGTGGCGATGGCACTACCTCGGTTTCAATGGTCATGGTATCAGTGTTCACTGAAGACGACTCGACTTCAACAGGAGGGACAGCATGTGTGACAGCCTCCGTTGACATCGACGCTAGTAACTCCGCATAGTTACGTTTATACCTTCTGTAAAATGTGGTATAATGGCAGGTCAATCGTAGGTTACGTTCACGTAATCTTTTTAGGCTTAAAATAGGGTATTTAGTGTTAGACTAGGAGAAAATTAGATATGAACCACACCGACCACTTACCTGCATCGTGAACAGTTTAAAAGTGCGCGCACACTGTGGGACTGTAAACCAGATAAACAAAAAAAAACGGTGCGCTGCAATTAACATTGACCACAGATCTTTTCATAAACTCCACTGATTGGCCAGTAAGCATCAACCAACATATAAAACCATATTCGTGACACGATATCCTGTGAGTCATACGAGTCACATGAGTGACATTATTCCCAAATACCTTGACCTCTTACATTATCACAGTCAAAGTGACAATAACAAGTCACAGGTGAATTTTTCAGTGTGACTGCAATGTAATGCTATTGGTCACTATTATTAAATTATATAAGTTTATATACAAACATACATGTGTGTATGCGTGTGTGTCTGTCTGCATTAGTGTATGACAGAAAACGGTGTAGTTATCAGGAAAATAATACTACCATTATTACTTTTTAGTGTCAGCACCTACTTCTGTCTTCTGCTTTTAGGATGTTTTGAAAATATTCAACTGGAAACTGTGGATCTATACATGTAATTATAATCACATTAAGAGAAACATATCAATTAACTGATGAGTTTTTATGCATTTGAAGTAGTTGTAACGTAATTTCGACATAAAAATTTTACTACTTACAATTTATCAGTAACCTCCCGTGTACATTTAAAGTTTCCATGGTGTCCACACTTTGTCCCCTTTATTCGGAATATGTCCCAATTCATTAAATGTGTCCCCTTAATGTCCCATTTCATCGAATTATGTCCCAATCGGAAATGAACTAAACCCTTTTTGTCCACATTGTCCCAGAAATGTCCACTTTCTGTCCACACATTTGTCGGATTGGGTGGTTACTGTCCTCTCTGACATTAGTTAGTGAGTACAATCTGATAGCTAGTCGTTCAATGGAGCACATAAAGAAATATAGAAATACTGTCTTCACATTAACAAAAACATCCAAGTATGTGCTGGATAAATTACAAATATCTGGGAAAAAAATAAAGCTTGAAGTTGTACCATTTCATATTGCCCCTTCGTTTCATATGTTGATAACTAAAATCTAGAAGGTAAACTGCAAATCTCTGATTTCCTTACTTTTTTATTGTACATATATATTTGTAAAATGCTGTTTGGGACGATACATACAAAATGGCTGACTGAAAGTAGTCATTCACACCATGAGTTTCGTTGAGTTAGCTAGTGAAGGCAAAAACTGTCTACATGACACTTAGCAATAAAAAATCTTTTTCTGAAAACAAAAGGAGTATTTCACCAGGGCCTAGCAGATTAAAAGGTGGGAGGGTGGTGACTGCTATCCAGCGGATATGATGGTGGGGACATATGAGAACCACCCTTTTCTGTGGGACAGCACTCTATTGCTAAGGCTCCTGAGTTCGAATGGCTTCTGAAAAATAAAAGAGAATAAATAAAATTTTAAAAAAACGGAAGCTGAATATTTGCCTAATGCTGAAGTTTAAATAACAAACTCCCCGAATGCAAGTACATGGTATGAGTCCCCTACTTCAGAAGGACACCTAAATGTATACTTCAGAAAAACAGTAGTTATTATTAAGCCCTCGCTTTTCTTCTACATAGTTCACGCACTTTGACTTTTGTGTTTAACTCATATTCAACCTATATAAGTAGGTAAAATTATCATCTTTTTTCACTTAAACTTTTTTTTCTTTTCGCAAGAAAGACTAGAATTCCATCACTAAAACCTCAGGGGGAAATAGTATTTTTTTAGTGAAAAAAACAAAAAAATGATGAACCCCATGTTTGTTATGTATGTTTTGAATTATTAACACCTATTATATACTTCTGCACCTCTCTGGCGGTTTCCTTGTGTCTTCTTCTCTTTTCAAAGGTACTGCCTTAAACGAAGGCACTGAAACAGTCCCGCTATCCTCAACTAATTCGGAATATTGCTAGCCCATCTGGTGAATAACGGAACCACCTCTATCATGAAATCTGCTGACAAGTTCAAAGTTGGTCTCATATACAACTGGAAATGTCACAATTATGGTGTACTTACCGGTGAGTTTGAAGTTTTATGGACTTTCAAACACTCTATGAATCATTTACTTACAATTACTGTTCATTCCGCATCTCTTATATTTCACGTCAGCACCTGTACAAAAATGCTACTTACCTTCCACAATTAACGTAATGCCGTTGTCTTTGACTGAGGTCCTAGATGAGATTGGTTGAGTAAGTTTTCGGTCGTGCAATCACGAGTCCTGTGCAGTAGATTGGTTGCATTATCATTTCTCAAATGGAATGCAGCATACTGTATATTAGGGTAAATATTCCTCCTCGCTTGCTGAAGCTGGTCTTCTTCAGGGTATTTTTATCTCTCCTTTTCTTTTTTCTCTCTCGTCTTACGTGACTTTCCCCTTTCTAATGAGAGCAACTTCGTCAGATGCGCTGCTCATCGGACCGTCTCACATCCTGTCATGTAACAATGTGACTGCAGCAAACTTAACTGCTTCCTGTCGGTAGTCCAAGGTATATGGTCTTATGTTAAATCCC